GCTTCACGTTGAGAATCGAATCGCGCAGTTATTCTCCATTGAACGAAAATATTTCGAGTAAAACTTGTTTCTTTCTCTCTCAAGAGAGACGATTTTTGTTACTAATAAATCTTACTTTTTACAGAAGAACGTGAAACTTCGAAATTTCAAGATTTTTGCTCTTCTATATGGAGCTGTATACTCATACGTATCATTCGAATTTGATATTTTTCCTCGAATGTACGATCCTCTGAGTGCTTAAGAAATATGAGTTACCAAAGATAAGAATACAAGAAAGCAGAGTGTGTCCATCCAGGAAAATTGGCGCGCGAGTAATGTTTCCACGATGACCTCAATTTCAATTCGCACGACAAATGCCAACACCAACGAACGAACACCGACTCGCGATTAGAAGAACCTGTACATGGCTAATTGTCGACGGAGGACAGACAAGACGGAATTCAAAGAGGAATCGTCCCCGATTCTGTCTCGAAGATGCACGTAAAAGCACGTTCCCCGTTCTTATCCGATTTAAAAAGCGACGAAGTCAGTTTAATCGGGACAAAAGAGGAGGAGGAACCGTGACACGGTTTCTTCCACTGACTGGTCGTACGTAGAGCGCCTCTTGTCGTCGCACGTTTTCTTATTCCGTCGTTTCAGTGTCAAGCAATGCGTCAAAGTGGTAGGATCCAACCGACCAGACACGATGCGAATCGCGCAATGGTTCGAACATTCCTCTCGGTTGCATGTTTGTGCCGTGCTTTGATCACGAGCCATCAAAAGGTGGGCTGCCTCCTTATTCACACAGGAACAGCGTAAATCATGAAAGCGTGCCACTTCGTGGAACGCATTACCCTAAGTACATCGTGACGAACGTAATGAATTATCAAGGCTACAGTGTCAACCTGGAATCTGCGATATTTCGAGTGCTCGTGTATCGTCGTAATGAGCGAAATCTGTCGTGTAATGGGGTTGGACAAGGGTAAATATTCGAAATTAATGAAAAGTTTCGATAAAGGATCGTTTGAAACACGACTCGAAGTTTCGTTTATTTCTACTTTTGCACGAGAAGTGTGGTTATTACTTATTTGTTCTGGAAATTATGAAATGTTCTAACGAGTAACTAGTGGTAGCAACGTTCAAGGATTATCATATTTAACTTCGCATAATACACTTGAAAATGAGCTTAATAATATACTTCGTGACGATAATGTTTCTTCAATATGAAAGTAATATAGTGTAAATTGCAATGTAATGAAAGACTTCGTTACCATAAATATTGCAGGTAAATAATACATTCTAACGTTTACAATTTTAATTTTAAACGAAGTTAGAATAACTATATCCTTTTACATCTGACGAGTGTACAGGTTTTAGCAAAATGAAAAATTTCATCTTGGTTGATGAATGATCGAAAAAAGAGAAACTTGATCCTAGCAATAATTCATAATCAATAGTTTAAACATTAGCGTATAATCGTTCGAATATCTCCCTTTCCCCAATCAGCTCGAAATAAAATCTAACATATATTTTCGAACGATATAATCATCTGAATCGCGCGCTATTTATAATTTTGCAAAAAATTTTTCCAACGCAATTCTCGAAACGCAGAGATCGCAGAAGAAAATAGCGGGAATCCACTTTCGAGGAGCACTTTGCACTTGAAATTCGACCGCCCACCCTCACCACCTGTGCTAGACACACCCTCTTCGTCGATCCTCTCACCCTTCTTTTCAACCCTCGTCGTGGTCGTTGTCGTCCCCTCGTTTCCTCCACTTAAAAACCGGTAATTACTCTGATGCCGGCATTTAACGTTCGTAACCGGAGCGCGTGGATTTTCTGTTTCCCAGACTCGACCTTTCTTCCGACCCTCTCCCTCTTTCTCGCGTCGTAACTGTTGCTCGATTTCGCCTCCAGGTGAAAATACCTGTTTTTGTGTTACGGCCCCGACAAGCGAAACGTCTAGACGAGCGGCACCACGGTCGCAAGGTTACCGAGTCACGGCGCAACAATTTCACTTGGAAACTTAACCAGAACTTTGGACAATTTGCATCAGCTGTTAAGATACAATTAGAGGGAAACTGTGCAAATTGTAATCTGAATTAACGGAAAACAACTATCTCTGGCTAGGAGATATTCAAAGAATAAAAGCGGGATCGCTCTTCGTCTCCTTTCTAAGGAAAAGATAATTCCCTCTTAAGAGTTTCGATATTGTATCGAGAGATGGGTTATTTGAAAAATTGAGACACGGTAAAATAAATTGTATCGTCGAAGCTCAAGTTGCTTCAAATTTGAGAAAGGAAAAAAAAAAAAAATTGCGAAGAACTCGTTCCTTCGGAAATTCGTTTGTTGCATCGAAGAATAATAAACGTAAGCGAAAAATAGGAATAAAGACATTGGTCAGGCGAAATTGAATAATAACGGCTCGAAATGTGTGTATGTATTTTGCGAGCCGTGTCACGCGAGACTAATGAATACGTTAATGGGGTAATAAACAGCAGAAAATCATTGTGGAAGTTTGTAACCCGAGGGTTGAACGAAATTGAATTTCGAAGGAATAAAAGAATCGTTTCATTAACACATCCATTACTTCTCTGCAAAACTTTAAAAACTTCGATCGAACACACCTTATTGATATTCGGCCTTTTCCCTTCTATTTTCGTTCTCAATTTTCAAAAAAATTTCTCGATCGTACAAAGCAGACAAGTTTGATTAATTAAAAAAAAAACTAGAATAGAATTAAATTCACGCGTGAAATTTCCATTTTCAATTTTCAATTTTTCCAAACTCTTCCCGATCGAAATCTCTCGAAATCTCTCCATTTCGTTCGCGCGTTGATGAGTTGTGAAAATCTCGGTTTTCGAGTGTTTCAAAGTGTGTAAGGAGGGGCGGCGAGAAATATATATATTCAGCAGAAGAGGTTCATTTATTTATAGACATGCCAATCTTCGGGCTGTCAGTTACTCTCTCGCCTTTCCGTATTTACCGGCGTTCCCGATACGAAGAGGAACAAGGCAGAAATTGCCCACACACGGCAATGACGTCATCAATATCTACGAGGGAATTATTTCGGTTTTCTCGCGTCGAGGAAGAGGAGGAAGGCAGGGAAAACTTATTAAAACCATCGATAAATTCGCGTTCTCCCCGCACGAGCTATTAAGCTCTTCTCTCGATTCGATTGTGGCTTCGAGCGCCAATAGCGGATACCCGGATGCTTCGTAAATCGTTCGTCTCGCCGACGATGAAACAGATTTACGTTTTCCGCCCGATTCCCTCCAACGTTATTATTCGACACACGTATAGCGAGATGACGGCTTCGTTGAAAGGAGCGCGTGAACATTTGCCACAACATCAATACGGATGTAAATGCCTATGGAGATTTCTCGAATTAGAATAAAGAGAGGCTTTTGCTGGATGTTTCGTAATTTTCTTTTTGCAGTTGCATAAATACGTATAGAGATAATTCGAGATTGTGAAAAAGGAGATCAAAAAGGTGCGCTGTATAATTAAAATTATATACCAAAAATATCACCATAACTGCTAGAGATATCGTACGTTGGAATTGCGATTTTCAGGAGGTTCGAGTGCAGAGCTCTATTTAGGCAACTGCGATGAGCGGCATTAATAATGACAACGTAACGTTTATAGGTACACAACACGCGCCACGTATTCGAAGATGGTAGGCCGAGATGCGGTGTGGCCAAGAATAGACTTATCAGCCAGATAAATGTGACAACGAACGAGGGAGAGCTTTACCTGCGAGCGATCCCATGCGCCCATTATTTCCTTTCCCTATCTACCGCAGATGCATCGCACTTATCAACTCGCCGCTCGCTGCACCAAATACCCGCCTCGCATCTGCGCGCACGCGGATTTCGTGCACGTTATCCCTTCCCTCGTATCTATCGCGGGACATTATCACAAACGATCGGTCCGCGGCGAAAATAGGTTATCGGCGCGCCTCGAAATTCGATTGCCAATTCCTAAGAGATGTTTTTTTTTTATCCATCCGATAACTGGTTTTTTTTTATCGATGGAAACGCGATCCTTTCCCTCTCACGTCTCATCCCCATGTTTTCTCATCGATTGTATTAATTGTTAATTATTGGGAATCATGTTATGGAAAGGTTGAAGTTCAAACAAGGTTGGATTTAATTTTTAACTCGATCGATCAATTTTTTAGTCGAGCCTCGTGAAATTGTGTGTTGACAATTTCTCTCTAAAAGTTGTTGTAATAATTTAGAAAATATCAAAAGAATTCGCCCTCATTATCGATCACAACGTTCCACTTTTACCGCTTTTTTATCGAACAAGTCATCTTGCCATTTTTCTCAAATTTACTAATAATAGTCGCGTTAGTCACAACTGATATCCAACTATGCACCACTATGCCCTATTCTTCCGAAATAATTCCCGCAAATTAATCATCACTGACGACCGCTCGTATATCAACAAGTAATCGTGACACCCACTTTTCGATCATCCTCCAACCACTCCTCCAACCTCGATCATTATTCTACAAATTCATAAAAGCACAAACGTGATTGGCATTCCCCCCCCTCTCTTATCGCGACTAACGATATCTCTCTCCCTCCAACGTTGAATAATTGTTCCAACGAATACCCACTGCGCTGAATATTATATATTCGTGGCCTGTTTTAATCCGATTTATTAGCATAATGCGCAAGAATAGAGCTCGCCACCCGGGTTTGCATGTTCGCGATCATCGAAAGGAAATGCGATCACGCGAACGCAGAATTCCCCTGCTAATAAGGGGTCTAGGAATCCGCGAACGTCAAACGCCCCCATAACTCAGGCGAAGGGAAACGATGGTGTATATAAAACTGCGGCGAGGATCGCGAGTAATTCGAAAAGGCAGGACGCCTTTTGAACCTGTGCTATCGCAAAGACAGCGAGATAAAAATAGGATCCGTGAATATAGAAATAGGTCGATAAATTTCGACGTGCGTGGTGGAAATTTGTCGGTTCTTCGCCCTCTCAATGAAGATACACTCGCTTACCTTGATCGTCGCGTGGTGGGATCTTTCATGACCATGACTTCTGTGATGTCCCCATACTTGGTGAAGTACTCCCTTAGGCTCTCTGTAATCATAAAACGACGGTGTTTTATTTTTCGGAATTCTTTTCTTTTTTTATAACAAAAGTTTCGAAATTTTAATTAATCTAATTCGTTAGGAATGGTTAAGTGGAATTTTAACAATTGGCCGTTAATATATTCGTGGAACGTCTTTTTTTCTTAAATTCTTTATGACTTAATTAAAACAGATTTTTAATTATAATAAGCGAAATTATTTGTGTTTTGTGTCTGCTTTAGCCTTTAGAATCGATCGAAAGAACGTTCCATGAATATATTGACACATTTTATATAATAGATTCATTGTACGTTTCAACATGATACAAATTTCTTGATAAACTTATGTTGATTTAATTATTAATTCTCATCGAACTTTCACCCTTAAATTAAATCAACATAAAAGTAATTAATAGCATTTTCGGTTTCTTCTTCAGAATTATCAAAATTTGGTTAATTTAAATATTGAGATTTTTCAGGTTGACCTTAAAAAAATAATTTTCCTACAAACGATTGGAAAGAAGATAACGACAAACTCCTCGAACGGTTGGTACGTTGCATATATGATTTATTAGACGGCGTTATCTTGGGGAAAGGGAGGGTCCATTTTCGGAACAGTGGCGCCCCCTGGGTCGAGTCACCAATTACGTAGAACATAATGAAACTACTACCAGACCATTCCGTGAATCATATGATACGAGGAGAATTTACGAGTGGCCGTTTCCTGTCGGTTATCGGCAACACCACGCTCGTTACTTTCAACCCAAGAATAATTTTAGCAAATCAGTCGCTACGCCGGCTTTTCGTTGAGCCATCGCGCCGCGAATACCTGAGGAACTGAATTTCAACGGTGAATAATCGCGGCTACCTTATCTGCTACCGTTTCTCCCCTCGTTTCGAATCGTATCCCGTCTCGATGTGGGAGTAGACCTTTTGTGAATCGAACTAGAAACAACGAGGCACGCGAACGAGAACGTTGTACGCCATGGAATGGACAAGTGAATCCTTTGATATCGGATACTAGAGCGAATCTTTCAACGAACGAGACCTCGAACATCATTGCGGTCGAAAGTGGAATTTTAAACGTGAATTCGTGTGTTGTTTATCACCCGTAGTGGAAAATTTCAACTTTAACCTATATTAGATTTGTTAGAAGAAGATCCTGAGAAAATCTCTCCGATTGAAAATTTAATTTGGCAAAGATTTGCGAAAATGAATCTTATTCGAGTATCGAAGTAACATTTAAATGAAATTTTCATAAGGTATACGATTTATTCGATTTAAGGATAGCGTATTTCAAAATGATTGAAGATATTTGGTTAATGTACGTGTGGACGTATTGATTAGTAAAAGCACTCGTAATTCTAATCATCAATACCGTGAAACAATGAGTCGAGTGGAAGGGCGGAGGTTTGTTAACGCTAATTAGAATTATTACATAACAATGTAAGTCGACAGTATCGAGCGTAATCCACGTCATTTGTGAACACGCTGCGTGCGTCCACAAGAGAGCTTTAGCTTAGCTTAACACCGTAGAAAATTAATTGTGCACACTTGACAAGTTAAGCCGCAACGTGTAATTAAGAAATATCTGATATCAAACTTTTGCAAAATTTATGGTGAACGGGAATCGGCTCGAAAATTTATCAACTACCGACATAAGGATTCGCTAAGTAACACAAAAACTGATTAAGTACACAAAGCCGATATTCGAAGAAAAACAACAAAGAAGAAGAAATCGTTCTTTATCTTGCATAATCAATTACGTGCAATCCTTCATTCAATGGAATTTAATTGAAACTTTCTCTACTTTCAAAAAATACTGAAATAACGACAAGATTAATCCTCATTATATTCAAGAATTCTAGATTGTTATATTATCCTTTTCAGATGCTTCCAATTCTCTCTCCTCGAATTCTTCGAATTTCTTCCAAAAAAATTCGTACGAGATTTCAAATTGTGTTGATAATTTAACATTCAAAGAAATTCAAAATTATAATACAAGCATACATAACTTTCAATCCCCTTAAAACTCGTTGTTGTACACGTTATTGTGAAACGTGTCGTGTTCCTCGTCACCCGATTGTCGATCAAAATTTTTGCCGCATTAAATTCTAATAAAAACCGCAACGCGACCATCACCACAATTCCCGCGTATTGGATGGACTGCACTGGATCAAATAACGGCCCTATAGTAATTTATAGCAGATTTAATCAATCCGCGTGTTTTCGAACGGTGCGAATCCGCGAATCTATCCCTCCGACGCTAGGGCACTCTCTTGACCTCGTTCGCGCGTATATATCAAAAGGGTGAACTCTGGCCGTAGGCCAACATGGACACGCTCCAAATATATCTTACACCCTATCTAATTATACGCTATTTTATCCAGATCGCTGTGAAGAGCTCGTAATGCTCGGCAGTTACTTGCCTATTCGGTCGCGAACGGTGTTCGGCTTCGATAAATTGCCGATCGGCCATCACGATACGGCCAAGAAGCATTATCTTGCATACGTTTCACTTATCTTCCTTAGCCTATTCGTTTATCTCACGGTGTTCAACCATCTGCATTTCGAAAGGAATAAAATCGAATGCTCTCTCTTCGGAGCAGCTCGACAGATGGAGAGTTATCTCTTTTTTATCTATTTTTTATTTATTTTTCGGATGGAACACTTTTGGAATACAATTAAGATCTAATGAGACCTCCTATTAAGGTAATGTTTTCGGAGGTATCTTGGAAAAGTATTAAATTTCTCGCTCGCTTTTCAGAAACCACTCGAGCCATCCTGTAATGAATTATCGCGGTGTCTTATTAAATTTGATTGTTATATTCTGAAGAGGGAGGGGGAGGGGGGGAAGGGTGGCGAGTTCGAGACACAGAAGAAACAGAAGGGAAAGGAGAGAGAGAAAGAGAGAGAGAGAGAAAGAGAGAAAGAGGAGAGAAAGTGCGAGAGAAGGGGGAAGGAAAGTAGAGCGCTTATTGTTTATTCAGTAGATGGCGTTAATCAATGAATTATTGGTGTTCGTAGGTCATTAGCCGGTGAATACCACCTGTTTGGTAACGAGCTGTTCGCATAAATTACATCAACCTGCGGAATTAATTACTGATACTTAATTAGTATTCTCGGAAAATTAAGGCGGGCCCTTCTTTACCAGCGACTAACGGCGGGTAATTTGAACTGTTATTTGTGCGCCACTAATGACGACGTAGAATATCTGGAAACTCTAGCAGCGCTTAATCATTTTTTTATGCGTTGGCATGAATAGTGTAATAAGCAACGAAAGTGTAATAAGTACAAGAAGAAAAAGGAAAAAAGCTCGTGCAACTAACGTAGATATTTTCACTTTCCTCGATACTTTTTTTATTGTTGCAATAATTAATAGGAAAATTATTCTCCGATACCTTACAAGGTTTTTTTTATTCTCTCTGTCAAACGATTTCGAAACAATTTTCGTTCTCGTTTGAAATTATTCAGTCAGTAATGTAATGATATTTTGAACTCGAGCGTTAAAATATTTCATTCTAATGGATTTTCTAGTTTATCCTCTTCCTGTGCTGCTGCATTTAACACATTCTAATGGATTCCCGTCGAGAGATCCGTCCATCTCTATCCGTTCCTCGAACTATGGAAATCGTCGTTAAATCTAAGAGGCCATAGCGCATTCGGTGATGCCGCTTTAATTTGTCTCGGTGCGGATTGATGGAAGCAATTACGTCGTTCACGAGGAGACACTTTTAAAACGGTTCTGTGACATTTACGAAAATTTATCGGCATCATTTTCTTAATTGTTCCTCAGAAGAAGTTATTTTTCACGCGAGGATTCCCCAACGATGCACTCCTTCTTGGCCTGATCCTATTCGACGCCAATGAATCTGGTGAAGTGTCGTTACAATTTGTTTCCTGTCGGGAAATTTCCGCTTTTTCAGCGAATTGTAATAACCTCGTCCATGGTTATCCATGCTAATTGCACAAATGGGAAGAATTGTTCGATCGTTTTATTATTTTTGATCCTCGTTTTAATAAGGTGGCGATCAGTTACGTGGTAATTTGATCTTTTCCTCTTTTTTCTTTTCTTCGTGAATTACGAACGCCGTTAATTAATCGCACGCCATAACGCAAATTGTATCAATCGTCGTGCATTTAACGCTACGAAACGCGCATTCGAAATGAATTTCAATAACACTTATTAGCAATAAATCACGCATGACAAATGAATTATTGCTTTGTGTCGCATAATACTATAATCCCTTATACGAAATCGCTCAAACTCGAAATCTATTTAATGTCAATGGCAATTAACAATTTCGAAAATAGACGAAATTCTGGCACGCTAATTTCCATAACTTGGAACATTATATTTTCATTTTGTAAAAATTTTATTTATTCGAAAAAATAAATAAATTTCAAAATAATAAATAATTTAAAAATATTTTATCAAGCAGCATAAACAACACGAAAATCATTTAAATCTTTGTCCCTTTAATCTTGCGCAGCTTTCATTACAAATCTCGACAGTCAAAACAAATATCAACCTATCTTCGCTAAACAAACAGACAAAACCCAAAAGCATTCTATTCTCTGCAAACAACAGAGACAGGCATCGTTTCTATTTAGCATCCAAGTATAATGTGTGCATATCAGTCAACGCATTATCTCGTTTCCCTTAACATCTCCAAAATTATGTACACGCTTTCTCCAATAAATTTCATCCCCTGATATCCAACGTGGTATTTTACGAATCGTTTCGAGACCGTTTCTCCTCCTCCCCCTTGGACAGATCTTCGAAATTCCTCGCCCATAAAGATGGTTGATGGGCCCCGTATCACGTTCGATTAACCCTTCGAATAAAATCCCTTAAACGTCTCTCTTAACATTTAGCTATCGGATGATCCCGCCTCCTTTCACCAAATGGTCGATGCACTCGACCCGGCCGTCGGAAGATTAAAGGGGTCCACAAGTGTTCCCGACAAGCGACACGCCATCTAGCGATTGCACTTTCCTCGCGGTGACA